AAAAAAAAGACATTCCAATGTAATAAAACTTTTCTCAAAACAAATGAAAAAGTAATTTCTTGCTATTTAATTAAATAAAATTTACTTACATTTCTCTAAGGTTAAAAATAAATGAATGAAGTAAAAAAAGAGAAAAACTACACTAAAATATTGGTAAGATATAAACATTTCATGCATTTATTAAAACTATAGATGAATGAGAGCATACATATATATAATTTTTTTATACTGAATTTTTTTAATATGTAGAAAGGAATCAAATCTCTGAAAGTCACACCTGGGCCTCATTACCTCAGGCAAACATAATTATACATTCAGAAGATAATAACTGCCAAATACCTGCTATATCCAAACACTACTCCCTTCCGTGTGTTATTTATGTTTATAATCACTTTATTCGTAAATTATCTGCATGAAATGAGAATTTGAATTTTTTTCTCTTTAAAGAAACAAACAATTCTATCATAGTGATATTTTCTCCTTGTTTCTAGCTCCAGCACGACCAAAACCCAAGCCAATCCCTATTTATGATGCCACAGGAAAACTGCTGGTGACTTCCACAACTATCACAATCAGAATGCCAATATGTTACTACAGTGACGATCACGGGCCAATCAAAAATGTCCAAGTGCTTGTGGCAGAAACGGGAGGTAACAAGATAAACACTAATTTATCTTGTAATGTTGGGGAATGTGAATTGCTGCACACTGAAAACATTTTAGTTCAAAATTAGCCATATGGGGTTATTTCCCAGTTATCACAGAACTCTTAAAATTAATACAGGGTCAGTATTATCAACATTTATAGCAATCACTTGTTGGTTCCTGAAATACTTTACCAAGATAATAAAAGACATAGTTAAAATATGTGATTTATTTATTTTATATTCTACTAGGATTATTTTTATTTTGGCAAGACAGAGTCTCAATGGTTTCTTTAGAGTTATGAAAAAGAAAGTTACCCTTGGCTCAGGGATGTCCTTTCTCTACCTGAGAAATCATCTTCCCCCTCACTGCCTAACTTCAGATGTGATGGGGAAGGACGGAGTTACCTGCCTTTCTAAGTTGATCAGTTGAATCATCTGAGGGTTCATAGAGTGACTGATGTTTTGTCCGGATTCCCTTTGGGTAATTATTCTATAAAAATACTCTTTACAAATGTGAAAATGGATTCATCTAATATTTATAATCACCACTGGTCTTTTTCCTAAAACAGCCCAGCTTGACGGAAATGTAACAAAGTGGTATGATGCATATTTTAATAAAGCAAGGCCATATTTTACAAACGAAGGCTTTCCTAACCCTCCATGTACAGAGGGAAAGACGAAGTTTGGTGGCAATGAAGAAATCTACGTTATAGGTGCTGATAACACATGTATGATCCGTGGCAATGAAGATAAAATTTGCAATGGACCCCTGAAGCCCAAAAAGCAATACCTGTGAGTATAGCATCCGTCTGCCATGCACCAGGTCGGCAAGCTAGTTAACAGCTCCCTCCATTCATCCGCCCCTCCTTCTGCCTTGCAGATAAACGCTGGATGTCCACCATTTATAGTGATGGTCTTTCAGGCTTTCAGAATAGAAAGATAACAAGGCATTCTTCTTTCATTCCATAAACATGCAGTAGTATAGGGGAAACAAGCAAACATACAAGTTATTATGATTTCATATGAAATAATTACAAAGGACAAGATGAAACGTGCTCCTGGAGAACGTAGAAATACAGGAGCGTTTGCTTCTGTCTGGAGACTGACTACTGTGTTTTTGCCACACATACTGACATGTCAAGTTTTTAGAGACACTACCCTATTTTTTAGTTATGGTGACTTCCTTTTATGATACTCACAGCAATAACTTTCTTTTGTATTTTTTTATTTTTTGAAACAAAGTCTCACCTTGTCACCCTGGGTAGAGTGCCGTGGTGTCAGAGCTCACAGCAACCTCAAACTCTTGGCCTCAAGCGATCCTCCTATCCCAGCCTCCTGGGTAGCTGGGACTATAGGAACCCACCACAACAACCAGCTATTTTTTCTTTTTTTTCTTTTTTTACTTAAGAAGGATTCTTGTGCTTGCTGAGGTTGGGCTCAAACGTCTGAGCTCAAGCAATCTGCCCATCTTAGCCTCCCAGAGTTCTAGGACTACAGACGTGAACCACCGCACCTGGTCAGCAATAACTTTCTGCTTTTATCCTGACAAACATGTGAATGAGTGATGGAAATCCTCACTATTCTCTTTAATATTTGGTATTTTGTAACCCTTAATAAATCAACATATTAAAACCAGTGCTGATAGTTTAGCCTTATTAAGTTTTTTATGAAAGCGATTTTTTCCTATGGAAATGACTACATTATTTTTGTGTCATAAGACTGCTATTGAAAATCATTTTAATCTTCCTCGATTTTCATAATACACTTTTTACTACTAATTTCTAAAAAAGCAGGTGTTTTCTTTTTTTTCCTGCTAGTTAAAGCATTATCAAATTCTTAATAAATGTCCTAGGCCAAGTTATCATTAAATAAGTTAGAGACATTAGATGATTGAAAAAATATACTGCTTTATTATCTATTGTTTAATGAAATTACACAATTGGTGTAAGTTCTAGGTTGTTGCCTGAATTGTGCCCATCATACATATGACAGTTATGAAAATGCTTATGCCACAACTTTCATATTTATTTTTATTTATTGTTTATTTTGCATATTTCTTTCCAAAAAGATTCTTTGTACGACAAATAGAAGCACAAAGACTAATGATGGAAATGAATCATGTGTTGCACTTTATTGGTTTAATATTTTTAAATGCCTTGCGTTTTTCACGCGTAAATGAGGCAAATTTCTGTTGTTTCGAGGATGTTACTGGTAGGATCCCCAAGTCATTTTGAAGCTTGATCTTCTTCTGTATCCTTTTTGTATTTCAAATGCTAGAAAAGCCTAAAAATTTTGCAAATACAACTATGCACACACAGAAATAAGAAGCATTGTTATTAATTTGTTGATGAATAAGTAAGACAAGTTCTTTATTATCATTCTAATCTGATCCCCTTGTATTTGGAAAGGTGGTTGATGTACAAAAGTTATTACGCCTCGTATTTATAAAGTACCTAACACAACAGACTTTCACAGAGATTAAAACATTTCATTCAAACCAATCTCTGAGGGAGGCGATCTTCTTCATTTGCTTAAAATACTGACTGCTCATGAGGTGGCCAAATTTTTGGTCAGTGCCCCACCAAATTCAACAGACTCAGGTACAAGATAACTATTCATCTCATATCGATATAGTATTTAAGATATATTTGTCCTGATGGTGATTCAATTCCAAATTTGCATCTTGTAAATTTATTTCTCTTGAAAAAAAATCCATAGTTTTCATAATTATTTATTACATTATTTATTGAAAGAAGACCTATGACATTCAAAAGTTGTTGGTTTTTAATTTTTAATTTTCTTATTCTATAGATTTAAATTTAGAGCCACAAATATCATGGGACAATTTACAGATTCTGATTATTCTGACCCCATTAAGACTTTAGGTAAGTCGTATTTTGTAATTTAATTTAAACTATAATTTCAACATTTATCATACTTGGAACATTTATTAGCAAACCTATCTATCAATTCATGACTGACTGACCTGAAGTACAAATTCATTTACGTGTTAATCAGCCTGAGTAAGTAAAAAAGATAAGAGTGTTTGTAATACTCCTTTGAAAGATTGATGTTCCATCTGTTCAAATCTGGGCCCAGATTTTGTTAGGGTATTGCTTCTGTGCTAAATTGTGCTAACATTATTCTAAATAGGTATTTATTTGAGCCTCTTAAAATACAATCCTACATATAAATCATTTTTACCTAATAAAGGACAAACAGGCTTATGGAAGTTTTCTTTAAATAATCCTATAAACTAGAAGCATACATGTTCTTTTAATAGAGTTATTTCCTTTCAAACGATTCCTTCATGGGTTTTTCTCAATCTCACTTATCTAGATTCTAAATAAAGCATGAAACAGTTTAGTCAGATGTGTGTATGTCAACATCATGATCATCATCTCAACACCATCATCACCTTTACCATAATCATAACTAACATCAACTATTCTGTGCTAGACACAGTTCTAGGCTCTTTGCATGGATTAACTGATGAACTCTTCACAACTATCCTTTAGTTTGGGTCAGTGCTTTTCAATCATGGTGATTTTATGCCCTAGGAAATATTTATTAATATCGAGAGCCATTTTCGGTTGCCACAAAACAGTGGTGGTGGTGTTACTGGTGTACGCTACTGCTCCAGTGGGTGGCAGTCAGCAAGGCTGGTGGTGAATTTCCAAAGTGCGCAGGACAGCCAATAATATCAACAGGGCAAAGGATGAGAAACCTTGAGCTGAGTGCTATTGTTCACCCCATTTTACAGATGAATAAACCGAGGCCCTGATTGTTGAAGTAATTAAGTGATTGGGTCAGGATTCTGGTAGTCCAGCATTGGATTCCATAACTATTGCACTTTGAATACAAGATTTAGACATGGCTTAAAAACTTGGCTCTGTCACTTGAGTTGATTTAATTTCTATAAATCTCAATTTCCTTATTTGGAAAAATGATGATGAGAGTATCTTCTGTGAGGGTTGTTGAAAGGTTTAAATGAAACAACTTATATAAATATATTCATATTTTAAAGCTAGTAAATTTTTAGTTCTTAATAGCTTCTTTCTGTATTGGTTATAATCAAAGATTTTAGAAATATCCTTATTTAGGATAAATTATTTCTCTAGGATTTTATTGGAAGGATCACAACTTCCTATTTCTTGTGCACACAGCCCCCAACTCATGTGTCTATGTTGTGTAATATGTATGTATCTCAAGGAACCAGGTGAATGGCGTATCTCTGGGACCACTTGAGAATGTGGGACTGGGTGTTGCTTGTATTCTGGTGAGCTGTTACTCTGTATACCATGAGCTGCAAATAGATTTCAGTGGTAGTTATGACTGAAAGAAAAAGAATTATTTCACCATGTTTAGCCAAAAAATTTCATCAGATTGTGGAATTATTAATTGCATACGAAGCCAGTGTTTGTAACCTCTACACAGTTAAGGAAACTTTCTATCTTGGGGAAATAAAGAAGGTATATTTAGTTTACATAAACAATTGCAGAGAAATAACATGTATTTAGTTTTTGCACAAACATTTGTAGAGAAATAACATATGATTTATTTGGCTAAACTGTTTAATTTCATGAAATCATTAGTTGGGTTAATTTCGCCCTATAATGTAATCATTTAAGCAGCAGGTGAGTCTTGTGGTTTTGAGTTGTGTCCAGTGTTTCTTCGTCTGATGGGTGATTCTGTCGCCCCCTGGCACCGCCACTCTTCTAGTCTTACTGTCATCAACGTGCTTCAGAAATTATTATCCCTGCTAAAGAATGAGCCTGGTGCATTTACTCACGAAAGATAAAAACGAGGCAAGTTGGCTAACTGGTGTATCTCAGGAACATGCTCTTTCATAGGACAGGGCTGAAAGGAGCTGCCTGGCGGTGTTGGGTGTTGTATATGTGTCTCTCATCAGCTTCCTGGTCTCATACAGATTACTGATGGGACAGCAACATGTTCAGTTATCTTAGCAACAAAGTTAAGACATTCAGGCAACAGAAATGAGAAAGAAAAGCCATAAACAAGGTGAGGACCAGGCATCAGGAACAGTGCGCTCCGGGATGTCATTCTGTGGATGGTGCCGAGGATGGCCTCATCCGGCACTGAGGGCAGGCTCAAGGAGCTCCTCAGAGATGTCTTCTCTTCCTTCCTTCCACTCACAGCCAGGGTCTAAGACGCAACGACCAGGTCTGGAATGTAGCAGAAGTGCACAGTCAGTTCTCTGGTTTCTTTTTTGGAATCATGACCAGCACCGTGTCAATCATTGGTACTAACTCTATGTTTCCTGTTGACAGCAGGAGTCTAGAGAGGGAAGAAGCTGTGAAAGGGAGGACAGATGAAGGGATTGGGGAAGGAGAGACTGGGGAACGTAGACTGGACACAGTAGATAAAAAGCTGCTGGGCTGGTAAGGAACGCTGAGGAGGGAGAGTCCCAGGCGTCTATTATCAAATTGCTCAAAGTTCAGAATATTATTGCAGGCCAGGGACGTGAGGACATCCTTCGAGGTCACTCCTCAGACAGCGATCTTCCAAGGACTCTGCTGATAGATAGCAGCTTGTAATTGGCTTTGTCCTGTAACCCTTACTCTAGACGGACCACATGGTGCTCTGCTATTCAGATAGTCATTTACAGCTGGTGAAACGGCAACAGAAATGAAGGAAGTTCTAGGAGTGTAATCCCCAGTTGTGGTGAAAATGAGAGCATACCATGGGCACAGAAATCCTGATGGCTGGCCAGGTCACCCGGACATTTTTGCTGGTTAATGAATTTAACACCATTGATTTCTGTTGTCACATCTGCTTTCTATCAGACTAGGGGAGGTTGTGGCTCTGCGGCCGTCAGATTCATCTTCAGGGAGCAGGCAACAAAGAACACCCCCTCGAAATGGCTCTGGGCTATTTGACATTAGCAGGAAACCATGGAGTCAGAAGAGGTACTGGCAAAAGAACTGGCCAAGGAAGATACAGTAGAAGGCCTGGAAAAGGAAACAGAGCTGACCCTTTCTACCATGGTCAATGCCAAGAATAACTCCACGGCTATGAGCATGAGGGCCACCAGATAATACATGGCATTGATATGCTACCCCTGCTGTCAACAGAAGATAACAAAGGATGACAGTTCTTTTTTCTCTCAAATGTGTCATGTGTTAGGACACTCCATATCATTTACAGCATGCTGGTGGCTCCCAATATTCTTACCAAGCCGGCTAAAGACTTAGGTGTATATGTAATTCCAATTCAGTGAGAGACATTGAGGTCCTATCTAAGTCATGCAACCATCAGAAAATAAGCATTTGTTCACTTGTCTTTTGCCCACCATAGTGAACTCTCAGCTGAATTGCCTCTGAATTGAAATTTCAGGTCGTAAGAGTCTTTGCAGGGCTACGTTTCTGCAAATAATTTTGATCATATTTGTGCCTTTCAGAGACGTTATCATTTAGAAGTCAAAATTAGGGGCAAAGGATTTGTCATAGACCTATGAACTAAAAAAAGAAAAGAAAAAAAAAGGTTTAAGTTCAGTGAAAGAGGCAGGCTAACAGAAGTACAAGTGGGGGGTCCAGGTGGGGCTTTGCTGGGTAAAGATGAGTCTGTGGATGAGCAGTTGCTTCTTAAAAAAATATACTAAATAAATACATAAAACTAATTTGGTATTATTTTCACTCAAGTTCTACCATGAGCATTATTATTAACAAAATTCATAAGGACACAAACAATTTTTAAAAAAAATCTTCCTTAGGCACATCAGTTTATGGAAGCTGCTTAGAGGTGATGTTTCGATAACAAGGTTCAATTATAGAAGATTCCTATAATTTGGAAACCAGACACCTTTTACTATACCTTTCAGGGCTCTCATGAAAGCTGCACAAGATGAAATCTTAAACCCCACAGCAGAGACAGTGTGGGCATTCTCTAGTGTGCGTCTGTCCTAACACTTCTCATCTAATTACTGTGCTAGCAATGCCAAGTTCTAGGGTGCTCACTTAGACGCAGGAACAGGGAGTTGCTCTGTGTCTCTTGCTGCAAAGGCATCACTTCCCCAAGGCGTTGATGGAGCAGAGCAAAGTTCTGCTCTATAATGGACGCGGGTGAACCTCACACCTAGGCGTAGTGCCTGCAGTTTTAGTATATACTCAATGTAGGTGACTGTGGGTGAGTTAACAAATTAAGTTCTGAAATCTTGTTTCTAAAATAGGAATGCTCGTTTGTAGTACCTGCCTCATAAGCTGACTGAGAGATTACATCGGATGAATGAACCAATGAATGAATATGAAAAGTTTATTAATGAAAAAACCTGACACTCTTTAGATATCAAGCCTTTTAAGTGGTTTCGCGTATCAACTAATAGATTCTTCACTGCAGCTCTGTAACATAAGCTCCTATTTATAGATATCCCCAATTCATAGGCAAGAAATCTGCGAAGCACTGGGGTGTTAAGTGACTTGGCCCAGGTCTTCAACCTCAGCAAAGTTGTGGCAACCCCAGCTCTCAGACGCAGGCAGCGTTGACACCCATCAGAGTCGTGACTGTAGAAACTGCCTCTGGGCAGCTTCCAAAGTCCTTATGGCGGAGAGGTTTCTGATTCCGCAGACCTCCTATCCTTGCTGTACCGTTTTCTCTTCTCCATCTTTTAAATTATTTTCAGCTGATTTCTTTTCTTACCTTCTTATCTCAGCACTTTGCTGTTTACATTCACAAATGAGCATGTGCTGTTTTTGGGCCCAAAGATAGGATAATTCCTGGTTTTTTTTTTTTTTTAACAATGAATGAGTGTGACATCCCCACACCTTGGCAAACACTTTATTTTCTACTTCTAAAATTTTGCCAGTCTGAATGAACAAAAATGACATCCTTCCAAGGCATCTTCATTTATATATGCAGTGTTTTAAAA